ATGCCATCCCTGTCAATTTATTTTTTTTAAAATTGTTTTTGAAAAATATTTCAAATTTAAATTTTTTTCATTTTTATGCCACGCCCTACCCCTACCTCCCTACCCGCCACCCAATTTTTTTTAAGGAAAAAAATATTTTTGGGAAATATTTCAAATTTAAAAGATTTTCATTTTTTACGCCACCCCTACCCTCCCTCCACCTAGTCCATCCGTGTCAATTTTTTTTTTATTATAAAAATGTTTTTGGAAATTTTTTCAAATTTAATTTTTTTCATTTGTCTCATTGGAATTGCACAAACATATCGTTCAATCAATAGCACTATTCAAGTCATCGGTATTGATCACAACTGATACTCAAATATGCAAGAGAACAACCACATTCACAAACACAAAAATAAAGGCGAATTTTAATTCTCATAGAAAACCAACTTTCACATTAAAACCATAAAACAACAGTGACAAACATAAGCATCCAAAACAAGATAGATACAACCCAAGGGGATAGGTATGAACCTCACCCTGCCAAACAAAACCTAGCATTGTCCTCAATGCAAAATAAAATAACTGTCTCAAAAGTAAAACAAAAAGAGAGTCAAGATCCCCCTGTCAGGCTAAGCTTGAGGTGAACGCTGCACATCTGGGGTTCTCTCAATCTGGGCATCAGTGCCCGGCTCATCACAAAAAATAACCTCTACTCCACTGGAGCCAATCATCGAGGTGTCTCGAAGAGAAGGCCGTCTACACCATCGCACCCTCTAGATCTACAAGATCATCATACATAGCCTCATCACGGGTCCCATGCTTATCCTCATCAGTATCAGGAGAGTCCGACTCAACATCATAATCAACTATAGCAGCATCTCCGATCGTATTAGCCGGAGGGATTTCAGAAATAATTGGCATCTCTGTACTTAGAACTTCGAGAAGATCCACAGTGCCTAACAACATAGACAGATCTGTGGATTTGAGCTCATCCACGTCACCCCTCAATCCAGCAACATCGGCTCTCAAAGCCGTAACATCAGCGAACTGGTGACCTCCCTGCTCACATGCCTCAAGTCGCACCGTGAGGGCGTCCAAGGCTAGGCCATGTGCGGTGATCAACTCCTAGTTCTCTTGCAACTCAGCTCGGATAGGAGCTAGGGCAACAACAATGGCCCGCTCAATCAGTCCGGGGACAGCTGCCTCGACCCATGAAGCACGTACATCAGCAGATTGTGCTAGATAGCCCATCTTGTAGAGCATCGCCTGTGTCAATATGGGGTGGGAGGTGGCAACAACAGCTGTAGTGGTAGTAGCAGACGAAGATGAAGCAATAATAGTAGTACTAGGGGTACCTGAAGGATCATCAGCCTGAGTGGGAAGATATGTATCTCCCTCTATCATATCTACATCGACAGCCGGGGATGTGTCCACTAGCACTGCTCTCCTCCGCTCAATCTCGTCCCTGGTGTACTTGGCCTCAATCCTCCAGATGTCAGTAGAGGAAGTGAGAGTCACTTCCACATCTGTCTTCGCCACGAAGGGCACTCGAGCACGCCGACACAACTCCATGAACAACACCGAGAAAGGGAGAGATGTATGGCTCTGCTTGGCCCTCAATTCCATCTTCTGCTCAAGGATCAACTCGAGATTCAATCTATCTCAGTCAATAATAGAACCCCGCAAAGCTGCCTTCAAATGCCGGAGTATGGACTCATTCTGGGAAGGCATCAGTGTGCTGCTAAATGAATTTGAACCAATACCACGCAGCCACATTCGAGTCCTTCTTCTCAATATGGACCCCTGACTCAATCCACTGCGGTGTAATGTCGGAAATCAAAGGGGCCAGCCACCACTTAAGGTCTTCTAGGGTCTTTTTCTGAATTTTATCCGCCAAGAAGTGTTTTATATTGACGGTGTACCCCAATACCTCATTAATGTACGAACTGCTGCACTTCACTCTCTTTCCTCAGACTACCACATAGTTAACAGGTGTAAACGAGCTGGCTTTCTTATTGCCCTTTGGGACCTGCTTCCCATACTCAGTGTAGAATTCCCCAACCCAAGAAGGTATGTATGAGCCTCGAGGCTGTGTGAATCACTCGAATTTGTGGAACCTAATGGTGTCCCACACATCTGGATATCTGCCCACTACCCCATCAGTGGACAACCTCTTCTCTTCCAAAATGGTGCGCAATCTGGCAGCTTCCAATCTATTCATCGAACGAGGTGGAGGTGCCTGTACCGGGGGCACTGATTGTGCCTGCTCAGTAGTCTGTGCTGGAGGTTGATGAGGTGTTGGAGTGACCGGAAGTTTGGCTGGATCATGTAGTGCTTTGGAGCGCAACTCAACTCGTCTTTGCTGAAGAGTTTGGTCATCCTCTGGCTCTGATGCAAATGCCGGCGATCTAGGCCCCAAATTGTCCTCACGATCCGATTCTGAAGTGGTGAGGTGGGTGTCGTTGATGCCCATGTAGTCGGAGCTGGAATTAGCCGGACTCGGCTTCGCAGGACCTTCCCTTTATCTGTGTCCTTCCCCAGTTAGAGGAAGTCTAGGTCGTGTTGATCGTGGATGGGCAACCTCCTCAGAAATAACCACTCCACGTTCTCTCTTTCGGGGTGGTTGGTTCCTCCCGGGGACTTTAGGTCTGGCCATATCTGCAAAACACCACATATCGAACAAATGTATTAGAAATAGGTCAGCGAATTATCATTTTTTAAAACTTTACGGAAAAATTCACCGACCATCTTGGTGAGTCATCGAGCTCACTCGGTGATCCCTAAAGGGCTCGCCGAAAGTTACAAAACCAAAATGAACTAAAATCAACACAAGTCGGCGAGGTCCAGGGTCAATCGGCAAGTCGCCGAACTTGATCGGCAAAATAAAGGGTAGCTCGCCGAATCTAACAAAATGAATTTTAATAAAATTGGGTTAACAATGGGTGATTAAAAAGGGCATTCAGCGAGCACATGCATATCGCCGAATGTTACATAGGCTAAAAGCTAAAATATCAGGGCGAAATGGCGAAATGACTAAGCTCGCCGAACAGCCTCTTGTGCCTGATTTCTACCCCGACTTCTAATTTTCAATACGCAGCCTACGAGAACAAAATTAAAGCCCTATTCTATGCAATTAACACCTAGTCCATATCACTACCAACCCCGGGGTACTCAGACTTCCCCCATTTTATAAAAAATTGACCAATCAACGTCTTTTGCCCTTAAGAATAATGTCACCCGCTCTATCATTGGGCAAAATCAGTTGATCGATACAATTCGGGTTATTCAGACTTCACCCACACTAGACTTAACATACTACAACCACACAACATAATTTTAAGCACTTTAAACACGAAATTTAAAATATAGGGGCTAAACACAAAATTTAACACGATAATACAGTAGCTCACAATTCAAAATTGACCAAATTCACAAGATCATGTAATAGATCTAACAATAATACGAGCATGCATAGCAAATGGCTAGAAATTTAATCAAGTTCGGGACACCAACCTCAAAATAGACAGACACGAAAAATTCATGCGAGCAAATATGAGGGCAAAAGAAAATTTCCACCAACCAATGATACCCACGCAAAAATATCAAGTAAAATATAATCTAAATTGTAAATGTAAGAGTGCAAGAGTCGAAAAAGGAAAAATAAAAGGGAATTTTGAATTTAAAACAATTTGAATCCTTTTTAACCCTTCAGTTTGCGCCCCTGTCGGTGGTATCCACTTATGTCGCCGACCCATTCAGTGATT